TTTCAAACAAACCAATTCATATACACCCTGTTCCAAATTATTATGCAAATTATATTTTTCTCATTTACCTAAATAATTGATGTAAATAACAGCATAATTCTCATGTTATCAACTATTAAGAGTACAATTCAAATTTTATTGAACAAACCTCCTAATGATAACAGTATTTTTTTTTTTTTTTTTTTTTAAACCTAAAAAACTTACAATGCACTGTTCCAAATTATTACGCACAGTAAGTTTCAAAACACTTTATAGGTTGTAAAGAACTGAAAATTGTCATTTGTTGTGTTTGCAGCATATTTACTGAAATCAAAAGCTATTTCAATCAAACTTTTAACAACATTTTAACTTTTTAAACATTTTAACAGGTCACATTACATTTTAACATAGGACCCCTTATTTGATAGCAGCTTCACAAGTCTTGCATCCATTGAACTTGTGAGTTTTTGGACAGTTTCTGCTTGAATTTGTTTGCAAGATGTCAGAATAGCCTCCCAGAGCTGCTGTTTGGAAGGTAAACTGCCTCCCACCCTCATAGATCTTTTGCTTGAGGATGCTCCAAAGGTTCTCAATAGGATTGAGGTCAGGGGAGGATGGAGGCCACACCATGACTTTCTCTCCTTTTATCCCCATAGCAGCCATTGCTGCAGAGGTATTTGCAGCATGAGATGGTGCATTGTCATGCATGAAGATGATTTTATTACGGAAAGCATAGTTCTTCCTTCTGTACGGGGAAGAAAGTGGTCAGTCATAAACTCTACATACTTTGCAGAGGTCATCTTTACACCTTCGGGGACCCTAAAGGGGCCGACCAGCTCTGTTCCCATGATTCCGGCCCAAAACATGACTGCACCCCCGCCTTGCTAACGTCGCAGCCTTGTTGGAACAGGGTGGCCATCCACCAACCATCCATCTGGACCATCCAGGGTTGCACAGCACTCCAGTGATCAGGACTGTTTGAAAATTAGTCTTTATGTATTTTTTCTGCCCAATGCAGCCATTTCTGCTTGTGAGCATTGGTTAGTGGTGGCCGAATAGAAGGTTTATGCACAGTTGCAAGACTCTGGAGGACTCTACACCTTGATGTCCGTGGGTCTCCAAAGGCACCAGCAGATTCAAATATCTGTTTGCTGCTATGTAATGGTATTTTAGCAGCTGCTCTCTTGATCCGATGCATGGATCTGGCAGAAATCTTCCTCAATGTGCCTTTATCTGCACAAACCCGCCTGTGCTCTGAATCAGCCACAAATCTCTTAATAGTGCGATGATCACGCTAAAGTTTTCGTGAAATATCTAATGTTTTCATACCTCGTCCAAGGCATTGAACTATTTCACTCTTTTCGGCAGCAGAGAGATCCTTTTTCTTCCCCATATCACTTGAAAATGGCGCTCTGCTTAATAATGTGGAACACCCTCCTTTAGTAGTTTTTTCCTTAAATTGGGCTCACCTGCCAATCTAATTATCACAGGTGTCCGAGATTGTTTTCAGTGATCAAAAGAGCCCTGACACACAATGCCATCCATGAGTTAAACTGAAAAACAAAATATTTAATCTTTGTGACACTTAAATAGAATTTGCATAATAATTTGGAACAGGGTGTACACTTACTTGGATTATTTTTTTATTTTACAAAAGATATGTTGCAGAATACATTGTGGCCTAAATTTATGAAGACATTTGAGTTTATTGGATATTTTTTATAACAAAAAGTAGGAAATATAGTTGTGTTTTTTTTTTTCATTGTTTTTTTTTTTAAATTGTCAGTCTTATATAATAAATAAAAAACCCAATGGTGATCAAATACCACCAAAAGAAAGCTCTATTTGTGTGAAATAATTATGTAAATTTCCTTTGTGTACACTGTTGCATGACCACACAATTACCAGTTAAAGTAGCGCAGTGCTGAATTAAAAAAAAAAAAAAGGCCTGCTCATGAAGTGGGTAAAACCTTCTGGTTAAACTAGGTGTTTGTTTTAGGCTTTACTTCTACTTTAGAAAAATCATGAATGTCTTGTTTTTAAGATCAGAGTGGTTTTAAAACTTAAAGCATGTTTCCACTTTTGCAGTTAAATTGGGATAACACCTACTTTATCTTTTTATATGTTCTCATTCACATTGCATAACTTAAATAATAAAAAAAAAAGCGCTGCTTAATTTTACTTTGCTCTTTTCTTCCATACAGTGTCCCTTTCTGTACTATGCTGGCAGATCTCATGATCAGTTGTAAAATAGATGCAAACAGAATCTGAAATAACAGATTAGGGCTTCTAAATCGCATAACTGCTGCCTGCCCACTGCCCTACAGTAGAACTACTGCTACAGGGCGGCAGGCCTGTGCAAAATCGTGTGTGTATGTATATATACGTAATTTGCATTTCTGGTTGGAGGGTGTGCACACCGCCCTACTAGTCCGGCTATTGGTGGTTAGGGATGTCTGTCACCGAGTCCTGACCGGCAATTACCGGCCAGCACTCGGCGATCGCTGTGTAAAGCTGACAGGGGAGAGACCTGCGTGTAAACACAGGTCTCTCCCCTGTCTGCATGGACATGCTGTTTTGGATCTCTCTGCACAGCATGCCTCTCTAGTAAAACACAACACTGCACACAGTTAACACTTTGCCCAAAAGTGAACCCCTTCCTGCCCAGTGTCATTAGTACAGTTTCAGTGCTTTTTATTAGCACTGAATTGGTGTCACTGGGGATATCAGTGCAGTTAGTTCCCACCCAGTGTCAGAATGCCCGCCGCAGTTCCACTATAAGTCCCCGATCGCCGCCATTACTAATCTATATAAAAAAAAATTCCAGTGTATATATACCGCCATTTGTAGACGCTATAACTTTCACGTAAAGCAATTAATTTACACGTATTGGGATTTGTTTTTAACCACTTGCCGTCCGCCTGCTATTTATAAATGGCAGGACGGTGGCACTCCAGGGGCGGGTTGCCATTCATAAACGGCACCTGCCATTTCTAGCTGTGTGTGCTCCCTGGGAGCGCGTAGCACCGTGATCTGGTGCCCGTTGTGTCCTCCGGACACAGTGAAACACCGATCGTCGGACGGGACCTCTGTACGAGGTCCCGATCATGTGATCACTGATAGGCCAATCGGTGATCACATGCAAAGTAGTAAGCAAGATGTCACTTGTGACATCATTGCTTACTACCTGTGAAATCTGTGAATGATCACAGAGGTCATATGGTACAAGGCTATTAATAACAGCCTTGTACCATGTGACAAGCTGTGACCAATCACAGCTCACTCAGTAGTTCTCAATGGCTGCAAGAATGCAGACAGAGAGAGCAATGATTGCTTTTACATCCTATATGGGTGTAAAAGCAATCACTGTAAAAAAAAAAAAAAAAAAAAAAAAAAAAAATCTTCATCACCCCCAACAAGTAGTACAGTGTTATAATTTTTGGTTATAAACTAATTTGGCTTTTTTTTTTTTTTTTTTTTTTTACTTACTAAGAAGATAACAGAATACATTTTGGCAAGATTTATGATGAAAGATTTATTTGCAAAATTTTTATAAGAAAAAACTTTTTTTTTTTTCCAAATTTTTGGACTTTTTCATTTACATAGCAAAAAAAAATAAAAATCCCAGCGGTGAATAAATATCACGAAAATAAAGCTCTATCTGTCTCAAAAAAATGGTAAAAAATTCATATGGGTACAGTGTTGCATGACTGCGCAATTGTCATTCAAAGTGTGATAGCGCTGAAAGCTGAAAATTGCCCTGGACAGGAAGGGGGTAAAAGTGTCCGGACAGGAAGTGGTTAAGCAAAGGCATGTAGCAGAATACAATTTGGCCTAAATTTTATGACTAAATTTGATTTTTAATTTTTTTTTATTGGATATGGTTTATATCAAAGTCCAAAATGTTTTTTGTTTTTTCAAAATTGTCAGTCTTTTTTTGTTTTATAGCTCAAAAAATAACGCGGAGGTGATCAAATACCACCAAAAGAAAGTTGTATTTGTGGGGGGAAAAAAAAGGACACAAATTTTTATTTATGCACAGCGTTGCATGCCCACACGCAAGTGTCAGTTAAAATAACGCAGCGCCGTATTGCAAAAAATGGCCTGGTCACAAAGGGGAGTAAATCCTCTGGAGTGCAAGTGGTTAAGGAGGGGAAACTCTTTATGCCCCTCTTTGTCAGTGGGGACAGATTAATTTTCCTCATTTTAAATTGTTATAGCTTGCATTCTGCTTGGGGCCTGCTCCAAGCAAACACCTAGAAAGGTAAGAAATATTTTTTTAAAAATTATTTTTTGTGTATGTGTATGAAAGTGAACACAAACCTACAGTGAGGTTTTCTCAACTTTGACTGCAAACTGAAATACATTTTAAATATGGTTTCTGTAACATTTTGTTTCATTTCATGAGACTGAAGAAACCTTTGACTTGTACTGTATTCAAATTGTTCTCTATAGTTTTCAGTTTATCCTTTTGCCCAGTAGTAGTTTACCACATTGAACTGGAGTTATTACTTTATGCTTGAAATGTTTTGCAGCTTTAAAGACAGTTTAAACTCTTTAATTCATCCATTCTTGCAGAGAAAGATCCTGATTAGCTGCTATGGGCAAAACAGGCAATTCCTCCCGTAGACATTTTGTTAAAGTGGAACTTTAGGCACCACATTAAAAATGGGTGGACAGGCAGGATTTTTATTACAGAAAAGACATGCTTTATCTCTATTGCATTAAAGTAACTTACCTGCCTGTCCGCCCTGGTACAGTAAGCTGCGTACACGCAGCTCACTTAGAAATTCAGTAATGCCAAATCTGACCGTAATCCCTGCCTGGCCAATGACAGCAGCTGACAACTGAGACCTGGAAGCCGGCACCCAAAGATGTCAGCAGCCAGGCGGGGAGATTGGGGATTCCGCAATGCTGGAGCTAAGGTAAGTATTGTTCCGCTTTAAATGAGCTAATTATGTTTAAAATATTCTACAGGAAAGTCACTTATTCTGACTGGTTTTTATTTATTTTTCTTTAAGGTAATATATCCTGTGTTTATACAAAAATCTATCATTGGGGAACCCCATTTGTGGCTAGAATCACTGCAAATATGGCAGTATCTTCAGAAACAAGTTTCAAAAGAAGCAATTTTACCAGGACAAAGGAAAGTTGAGAAGAGAAAATCAGAGGGCTGTCCATTTGTTTCCAAGACAAAAGCTTGCAAGCAGGATACCACTGTGAAGGACAACTTTGCATATTATGACCAGATAGTCAGAGAAGCTCCAGCCCAATCTAAAAATATGAGCAGTGAAGAAGTGACTAAAACTAGATATCAAAGTTCTGGTGAAAATGACAACACTGTCTCTTTTAGAGTGTCTTGCCGATGTTCTGGAGGAAATGCAAAAAAGACTACTGCACAGGTATTATTTAATCTTCTTTCAACCCCTAAAGATGCTTACAGAGAATGTATAGTGGCTTTGCATATATATGTATGTGTGTATGTATATCTATCACACACACACACACACACATATATTCATTCCTTGTTTTCGTCAGAACTGTATTTCCCTAGTCATTCTCCGGGACAGTCACAGAATAGGCTTTCCCACCTGCAGGAAACACAAATGAAAGGAGAATTGACCCTTTTAGAACTCCTCTGTTCCCCTCCACTATAAATTGATATCCTTCAGGTAAGTTGCTCACACAGGATAGTGTAAGGCCTTGTTCACATTGGAAAATGCCAATCCAAAAAACACTTGTGTGAAGGGCAGTCTTCACCCATGCAGGATGCAGAGACCCACAGGGATGTACATTCCCGGATGCTCTTCAGGATCCCTGTGGCCAGCCGCCTGTCATTGATTTGAACAGGCTGTCTGCAGTGAGATTTGACTGCACCATCCAGCTGGAGTTCTTGCCTGATCAATCTGTAATTACTGAGCATTCACAGATCATGTGATCAAATGAAAGTGTATGCTCAGCAATATATTTTCCTGCTGTCTGTTAGGGTGTTAGTAAACTTTTTTCAAGAAAAGGGCTCTCTGCAGTGTGCACTGCATACTAGTACCAATGTGTACTAGTACAGTAGTAATGTGTTCGGAACGTAAGAATGCCCCATCGTTTGGAAAATTATCAACCCACAGAGGACTGAATTCAAAGACGCCCTATAAATTCAAAGTGAAAAAATTATGCAGCAGGCTAGTCCATTTTGCTGAAATTTTGGCTCGGTAGTTTGTATGGCCCCCACGTGTTTGAATGCATGCCTGACAATGTTGGGGCATGATCCTAATGAGACAATGAATGGTGTCCTGGGGTATTTCCTTCCAGATCTGGACCAGGGCATCACTGAGTTCCTGGACAGTCTGAGGTGCAACCTGGCATCGGATGAACCAAAACATGGTTGGATTTAGGTCAGGCGAGCATGGGGGGCCATTCAGTGTTATAAATTCCTTCATCCTCCAGGAACTGCCTGCATACTCTCACCCCATGAGGCTGGGTATTGTTGTGCACCAGGAGGAAGTCTGGACCCACTACACCAGCGTAGGGTCCAACAATGGGTCCAATGATTTGATACCGATACCGAATGGCAGTCAGGGTGCCATTGTCCAGCCTGTAGAGGTCTGTGTGTCCCTCCATACATATGCCTCCCCAGACCATCAATGACCCACCAACAAAATGGTCATGCTGAACAATGTTACAGGCAGCATAATGATCTCCACAGCTTCTCCAGACCCTTTCACGTCTGTCACATGTGGTCAGGGTGAACCTGCTCTCATCTGTGAAAAGCACAGGGCGCCAGTGGAGGACCTGCCAATTCTGGTGTTCAGTGGCAAATGCCAGTCAAGCTCTGCAGTGAGCACAGGGCCCACTAGAGGACATCGGGCCCTCAGGCCACCCTCATGAAGTCAGTTTCTGATTGTTTGGTCAGAGACATTCAGACCAGTGGCCTGTTAGAGGTCATTTTGTAGGGCTCTGGCAGTTCTCATCTTGTTCCTCCTAGACCAAAGGAGCAGATACCGGTCCTATTGCTAGAATAAGAACCTTCTATGGCTCTGTCCAGCACTCCTAGAGTAACTGCCTGTCTCCTGGAATCTCCTCCTTGCTCTTGAGACTGTGCTGGGAGACGCAGCAAACTTTCTGGCAATGGCATATATTGATGTGACATTGTGGAAGAGTTGGACTGCCTGTGCAACCTCTGCAGGGTCTAGGTATTGACTCCTGCCACCAGTAGTGACATTGACCCTAGCCAAATGCAAAACTAGTGAACAACAGTCACAAAAAATTAGTAGGGAAAAAAATGTCTGTTGCCTTCATCTGTAAAATTATTCATGTTTTGGGGGTCATCTCATTGTTGCCCATCTAGTGCACCTGTTAATTTAATTATCACCAAAGCAGCTGAAACGGACAACCCCCTCTGCTACTTAACTGACCAGATCGATATCCCAGGAGTTTAATTGACTTGATGCTATACTCTGATTAAAAAGTGTTCCTTTAATTTTTTTGAGCAGCGTAGATCTGTTCAAAAAATTATGCAAGAAAATTGCTACATACTACAGACTAGCCCTAAGTTAACTAGCATCCTTTCAGCTAAACTAAAGGTCAGAATATGAAAAGCATTAAATGTTTGAATCGTGGTAGGGCCTTGTTTTCTGAAACAAAAATATAAACATCCATATCCTTGCTCACTCCATTAGAAGGGATATACCAACATAAGTACAACTGAAAGGTGAACTAATCTCACATGGCCAAAAAAAAAAGCTTTAGATACAAGAGGTACAACTAGAAACCTTTGGTAAACTGTTCTGATACCCATGTGATATGTGCTCTTTTCTGTCTCTGTGATCTGTATTATATAGGTTTTCAATAAGGAATACAATGCACTAGAATAGGGAAATCAAGATGCTTTATTGAAAAAAGGTCCAGTGAACATAGTGTTCTGAGACACCTTTTTTTTTTTTGCAGAACACCATTTAAGTCAACTTGTGTAAGAGTTCTAGGGATCAAAGTTACCCTCTTCTCACCCCCATGATTTTCCACCCAGTGACAGAATCAAACTACTATGTTATCAGGAGACTTACTGGATTTTTTAAATAATGCATTAATGTTGAATGGCCTAAAGGAAGCTCTTGATGGTCACACTGAAATAAATGTATTGAGTGGTATTAGATTTTGTTTGTGTGTGTGCGTGTATAACTGTATTTTAAATATTTTTTCCAGACTGAACATAGGACAAACCCTTGAATGAACTAGCGTTATACATTTAAATGTATGAACATTTCCTATTTTACTGTCCCTAGCCTAAAGTGAAGTGCTTCACACATGTAAAATTCAAAACAAGTTTCAGTTCTTTTCATTTTAATATTGCAACAAACACTCCTTTTACTAGTTGGTTATGCACAAAGACTGCTATTGGCTTTCTTCCTCTTGCAATACAGATGATATAGCTCTCTCTTTGTATATTTCCTTTTTCTAGTTATGAATTCTATATTTTATTTTATGTCCATATGCAACATAGGATCAAAATCATTGTGTATGCATAATTGGGAGCCTTGGTGACCTTCACTCTTGTCCTGTTGTCCTTCAGTCTTTAACCATTTGCCGCCCGGCCAGACGGAAATGACGTCAGACGCCGGAACAGGCAACTGGAAATACGTCAACGCGTTTCACCCCACCCACAGGGCGTTATCAAATGCCCTGTTTGATAACGCCCTGTGGGTGGGGTGAAACGCGTTGACGTATTTCCGGTTGCCTGTTCCGGCGTCTGACGTCATTTCCGGTGAGTGGAACGCACGCCGAGCGGTGCGTTCCAAGGGGCCATCTTTGCATAGTGGATGAGTCTGCATCTGAGGTCTGTCATCCTGCTGTATACCTGGCTGTGGGGTCTCTATACAGAAGTCGCTGTATATGAAAGAAAGATCGTTTTTAAAGAAAGATCGTTTTGCTTCAATAAAATGCGGGTTAAATTCTGCTAAAATGTGAGTGGTCTGGAGAAATTCTTTTGATTGGAAATCACTACGGTATCACACTATGGTCTTTTCTTCTTCCTGATTTTCCCTGGGGGATTCGGTGAGAGGAGTAACCAGAGGAGGTATCCATATCCTAGAGGAGGCAATATTTGGAGGTCATATACAAAGTAAAGGGGGTCCAGGAGCCCTTAATATCCCTGAAAGGCGTTTGACTCACCATTATCTGGTGAGTGCGGTTAATGTTGGTTTTGCACTGGTGGATGGTGGAGGTATCACAGGCACGGAAGAATCCAATGAAAATATAATATAATACATTTTTTCACGGGACTGTTATTTTGGGATTTTTGTCACTGGACTTATTAATTTTAAAATTATATATATTTTTTCATTAATATTTCAAAAAAAAAAAAAAAAAAAAATTTTGTGTCAGTTTTTTAAGTTTGTAATATTTACTAATTACACTGTTCAACAAATTTTTATTTTTTTGCCAGTTTTGGAAACAAAAGGATCCATTTCTTAATGAATTTCACATTCTGAGTTCAAATATAACAATGAAATTTGTCAATTGGCTCTAGTTTTTCTGTAAACGGAAAGTTTTCTACTACAGGCGTAATGACTACATAATGCACAATAATTATATAGATAGATGTCTTTCCACAAATATAAAGCAAGTGATATTGACTACATAACAAAGCCTAAATGGCATAATATATTGCATAGGATTACCAAGAAAAATTATAGCCATAAGCTAAGTTGAATCATTTTAATACTTAGGATTCTCACTAGTTTTGTCTTCAGTTTGTGTCGGTTTTGCTTCTCTTGGTTTTTCTCTTGTATTCGAGGAAAGGGCTATCTCTTACAACTGCACGTGACTACACGCTTCAGGTTCTTCCTCACTTGACTCAACCACGAAGGATTCTGGTGCTTTAGGAATTGGTAGCCCCTCTCCATGAGGAACTGGACGTATTGCCGATGGAATATTTGGATAGTGCACAGATAACTTTTTCTTCTTATTGAGCCCTTTTACAATTGGAGGCACCATACAAAAGTAACAATTACTAACATGATCTGTTGGCTCTCTCCAAATCATTGGCACAGCGAAAGGCATAGATGCCTTTTTTTCATTCAACCATTGCTCCAGTGCTGTCCCACAAGAATTGCAGCATATATGTGGTGCCCAGCTCTTGTCCTGGTCTCCTATCTTGCAGCCAAAATACAAGTTGTAGGCTTTCTTAATCATTCCTGTTATCCTCCTTTTTGTGAGATAAAAGTTATTTCACCGCAGATATAGCAGAAATGATCTGCTTTATTCACACAAGTTCGAGGCATTACTGAGTAGCCTATATAAGCATAAAACGAAATGTAAAGACGCTGTCGAACTACAATCAGCTACAGATACTGCAGCTTTTATGCAGTGAAGTGATGCAATTAAAGGCTAATATTGCATCATCTCAGTATACATGCAATTTTCTATTGGTCACCAGTATCAATTGCGCAATATGCAGCTGAAGTTGCATCATAATTTTGAATGGCTTACGTCATTAGATGGGTGAATATATCATGGAAACTAGAGCCAATCAACATTTTTTAGGGTCATTTTCATTTTCAGCACCCCAAAATTATGTAAGATTAGCTAATTTTATGCCCAAAGCTTTTTACCTGTTGAACAGTGTTATCAATTTTATGGGTTGGGTGATGCAGTTTATTGCTTTGTGGGTTTGCGCTGGTATAAATTGATATAAGTTTTCTTGGTTTTTGCACCTGTGTACAGCAGCATCTCACGGGGAATAGTGTGTGTAATAAGAGAGTCCTGGGCGCTGAGGTTTTTTTTCTTTTCTTTTTTACAAATTATTTATTTGTAAACTTTTATAACAGAAACAAAGAAATGTGTTTTTTTTCAAAATTTTTGGTCTTTTTTTGTTAATTTAGCAAAAAATAAAAACCCCAGCGGTGATTAAATACCACCAAAAGAAAGCTCTAGTTGTGTGAAGAAAATGATAAAATTTTAGTTTCGGTACAATGTTGTATGACCGCGCAATTGTCATTCAAAGTGTGAGAGCGCTGAAACGTGAAAACTGGCCTGGGCAGGAAGGTGTAAAATTGCATGGTATTGAAATGGTTAATATAGGAATTTTGATTATGTCAAGGTTTTGCTAAGTTTGCTCTAATCTGCTTTATCAAAGTCTGCTCTGTAATGATCACTGTGATCAAGGAAGCCTTAGTGACTTGACTATGCATTTAAGTCTGGCGGATATCTGGTTCTTGCAAACGAGCTTAATTTTCAAGGCATGGTTCACTCTTTAATTGCAGGGCCTCTATCACTAGTGAATGCATAAATCATACCTGAAACATATCATTGTAAGGCTGGCCATACAACAGTCATTTTTTTGTTCAACCAGTGGGTTGAACAAAAGAAAATGATGTAATATGCCCCATCCACGCACTCTATGTGGATGGGTGAATCTGTCCCGCTCAGCTATTGTAGTCTGACAGCGGGGAGATTTTCCTGTCTTCATAATTCATTCACCACAGCCGGCTATTGAAGTGTTTAACAAGTATTTTACTAAAAAATAACCTCCCAAAATATCCCAGGTTGTAAATCCATTTTTGGTCACTTTGTTCAGTGATGCAGATCCAGGTCAGTAATAATGCATGACACCCACTGAAAAAAAAAAAAAAAACAATCACAACTGCTTGCCAGCAGATGACAGCTAAGTATAAACAAAGGGGCAGGTTCTCCCAGATGATACCATTAACCAAATGTAGGATTTTACTGTATTTGGCTAATGATCTCACGGGATCTCCATAAACACATAGGGTAGAGATCAGGATCTACTGCTAAAGGGTCCTCAAGATTCTAATAAGCTTCCTGTTCTGCCAGGCTTCATGCTCAGGTAAGGGTCTGGTGTGGATTTTTCTTTTGTGCACTTGGTTCTCCCTTTTTAAAATCCATATTCCAAGGGTCTGAAATTGAAGATGGAGGGGTACATAATTCTTTGGAAGACCTGAAGAGCCTTCTATTTCTGAAATAGATCCGGACAACAGTGAGCATTATAGTGGCACATCCCTCATATGTATACAATTAAAGAAATAAAAGTATGGATGGGATTTTTTAGGCACTCAATAAGATCATAAATTTTAAATACCGGTATACAGATTTTTATTGTACAAATACTTAAAATCAAAGAACATGATTAAAAGCCACCCTCCCTTCCCCTCCACCTGCCGGCACCTGCTGTCCCAGCCCACAGATGGGTAGGTGGAGCCCGGGTTACATAGCAGGGGAGGGATGGGGCACTTTATCGGTGTGTGTAGAAGCAATCAGGCGCCAGTGGATGGCTAAATGTAGAAGAAAACTACCTACCCGGCGCCCAGAACTGCATGTCCCGAATGTTGGGCGATAGGAATTGTGCATCCCTGAGGCAAGGAAGACACAAGGGATGCCAATATAGGACCTCCAGGTAACTGAGACCACAACATAATACTATCAATATGCTTCAGTTAATCGATTCATCAATTTTAACAACTCATAAAGGCTTGGTTTGGAAAGAAGAAATGACCCAAAGGGCTGAATATTTATTAACAAATTTTCCAGTGCAGGAACACTACAGGATTACAACCAGAGATGGAGTCATTGAGGGTCTAAAAGTTTAATTATACCACACCTGATAATGATTTTAAATAAATGAGGGATTACCTCTCATAAATTTAAGTAAGTATAAAGGCTAGTCAAAGGCAAAGAAATTATAAATTGAAGACTTACAAATGGTCCTTCATCTACTAAAAAAAAAGAAAAAAAAAAAAAAAAGAAAAGACAATCCTATGTCTAGTAATTTAGAGGAGGCTTGCCACATTCTGATATTGACCAATATTCACAGGGTACCTATCCACAGCTGTCCCACACTGGAGCCAAAATGGTTATTAGAATCCCCCAATGACTGCATTTGCTCAATTGCAGATAACCCTTATGGCACCTAAAACTGCCTGCCAATCACCAAAGCTCTTTTT